CCTTCCCTGCTGTCTTCCACCCTGGCTGAGGCAGCCACTCTCCTGGATTCCTCCCTCCCAATAAATCTCTTGAAGGAGGTTTGGGTGAGACCATCTTTCTCAGGAGCAGAGACGGAGCCTGCGCTGAGCGGAGCTGGGGAAACCTTCCCCTAGCAGAGCAGAGCTGTTACACTCCAGAAACCCGACCAGAACTGTAACAACTTCGCTGGGGAAACCAAACCGTCCCCTACCAGACCAGAGCTGTTACACTGGGGAAGCCTTTCCCTGGAGCAGGGCTGTAAGCTGCTAAGCTTACTGTGATGTTGTAGTATTCCTTGGCTCCCGATTGCCAAAATACTTTTCCATCAAAGCTGTAACAGTATTCCTTGGTTCCTGAGTGCCAGAATATTTTTCCATCCAAGCTGCAATGCTTACAAAAACACCTTAACAAGTACATTTAGAAAAAAAAATTATTTAAGTAAACCAGCTCACATTTTTTATTTAATTTTAAGCCTAACTTATATAAATTATATCCTCTGAGCAGTTTAAAAGGCACAAAAAACACACATATCTAGTGATGTGTGAGTCTGAGGGGAAGAGGAAGGAGACAAGAGAGGGTAATGGGTATTAATATCAAAATAGGTTGTGTATTACACATGAAAATGTCATAATGAAAACCACTGTTCTATGTAATTAATATATACTAATAAAAACATAGTATACCTCTCCCTCATGAGATGCCTAGAAACATGTCTTATGTGTATACCACCCCCTTAATGTCCACATTAAATTTGCTGTGTGTATTACTCAATATCCCTACTTTATAAGCTCCCTAACATGCTTCATTAAAGCTCATCCTGATTTTGCTGACTCCCCATGGGAGCCCTTACCCTTTTGGAGGAAAGGATGGGGAGTGGGTCTGGCAGCAGGGGAAGGCTAAGGAGGAGTGGGAGGAGGGATGAGAGGGGGATCTGTGGTTGGTATGCAAAATGCATTAAAATTTTTCTTAAGTAAAAAAAAGCTCATCCTGAAATAGTTTTCACTGACATGTATCTGGATGAATCTCACTGCCTACATTGATATACATGTAACATAACACCACATTGAATCTCATTACCATACTTGTTGAAAAGTTTTCTATGCAGTGTGCAACAAAATCTTTCTGTCTTTGTCTCTGAGCTAATTTCACTCAGATTGGACCACTGGCAATGTGCCTAGCCATGCAGAGATGTCGTTTAGTAAGGAGCCCCCCCCCCCCAATAAAAATGCCAGACCTGTCAGTTAAATGATCCACAGCAAGAATCCTCCTGCTTGGCACCAGGAGAAAGACCTGTTTGGTAACTTGAGTCTGAGGCAAGATAAAAGGCCATGTGTGCAAATGAGAGGGTTTCTGATTCTTGTGCCTGCTCTTGGACTCTTTTCCTTCTGTTGGTTTGTCTTGTCTAACTTCAATGTGATACTTTTTGTTTTATCTTATTGTATTTTATTTTGTTATATATATTTTTTTAAATGAATGAAAGAAAACCTAGCCACTAGGGTAAAGGTTAACAAATGAACTGTCACTTACGCCTCCTGGGAGAGGGAAAATCAGTTTTCTCCAATAGAGTAACACTGGGTATATCAACCACTCCAAGACAGGAGTCATGTTCACGAGTTGTTGACCAACTTATCATGGACTCCACAGTTGTTGTTGTTGTTGTTGTTGTTGTGTGTGTGTGTGTGTGTGTGTGTGTGTGTGTGTGTGTGTGTGTCTGTGCATGCATATGGGCACTTGTGAGTGCTTTTATTTGGTTACAATTGGGTGGTTTTTTGTTTTGTTTTGTTTTTTTTGGAATTGTTTATTTTGTTTTCTTGGTTTGGAGGGTTTTATTTTTGTATTGGGTTTTTGTTTGTTTTCTGAGAAAGAACTGAAAAGTTGGGTGGGTAGGGAGGGAAAAGGCTCTGGAAGAACTTGGGGCAGGGGAAGAATACAATCAAAATATATTTAAATTTAAAAATTGTTTTAAAATGATAAAAAGATAAATGAAAATAAGAGACACGGTGGCTTTGAACATTCCCACAAAGGTAAGAAAGTAAAACAGATGCAAGTCAGTTGGCCTCTGGCAGGTTAGGAGCCATTAAAGATGTTTCTGGACTTCTCAGTTAAAGGCAGTTTGTCTATATAAGGGAATCTTTACCTACTGTGTTATGAGATTTTTGTTGTTAAGATTTCAGAAACAAACTTCTGCTCATATTTAATGGTGTCTTCAACAAAGTTCTGAAATCTAGGTCACAGGCAGGATCAATTTTGCAAGGTAAAACAAAACAAGGCTTAGGACTCCTGAAGTATTGGTCCATTCTGTGGTTTTGAGGGCTGGGAATTACTGTAATATCCTTAAGAATTTGACTCCTCGTTCAGATTCCAGCACACCTGATGCAAATACATTTATAACTATCAAATGTCTGGGTCTATTCTTTGCACTATGTGAGGGGTTGTAAAGGGATAACTACTTTCAAAGGTTTCAAAATGACATTTATTGTGTATGCCACTGTGAAGGCTAGTTGGACTCATTTGCTAAGGAGTAAAGGTCTATAAATTACAAGAACAAACAAACAAACAAAAAGATAGACATTTGAAAGACACATAAGGGCAATTCTCTCCTGAGAAGCCCATGCACGTCTCAGGATTATAGATTGTCTTTTTCCTATGCCTTTCTAGCTACACAATAAATAAGTTTACTAACTTTGCTTCACTTTGGCTTGTCCTGAAATTATTTCTATATCATAATCAAGGAACTGCCTTTTCCTGAGGAGAAATCCTAAGGAAAAAGGTGACTTCCCAGGCTTCTAGTAGCTTATATTCTACTTCTCCCTGCCTCCCTTCCTCCTACTCTCTACAGCTAAACCTTCAGGTACATATAATCTCTTCTATGAGTTGTAACACTGATATTGGCAAGGTTAAGAAATACTGAGAAATTTTTGCTCCCCAATTTGGGTCCAACTCTAAATAAACTCAGTTTTCATTTTTTAAAAATATTTCCATTAAAGGCCTGCAAAATAGCCTAGTCCCATATCTACATGAAGGTAGAAAAGATCTAGAGAGATGGCTAGGAGATTATGTGCACTGGCTGCTCTTGCAGAGGACCCAGGTACTATTCCCAGCACCCACAGGGTGACTCACCAACTGTTGTAATTCCAATCCCAGGGAATACAATGTCCTCTTCTGGCTTCCTAGGCATGCACATGGGGTACAAATATATTTGCAGGCAAAATGTCCGCATACATTAAATTGGAATGTATGTTTGTATACCACTTGCATTCCCAGTACCCACAGATGCCAGAATAGAGCATCAGATTCTCTGGAACTGGAGTTACAGATGGTTGTGAGCCACCATTCAGATGCTGAGAACTGAACTTAGATCCTCTGCAAGAGCAGTAAGTTCTCTTAACTGCTGAGCCATCTTTCCAGCCCAAAATAATTATTTTTTAAAGGTAGAACTGAGCCCACAAAGTTGTCTTCTGACCACCACACACTCCCTGTGGTAACACAAAAATTATGAATACCCACTCATGTGCACATATGTGCATTCTCGTGCATGCACACACAGACACACAATAATAAGTAATTTTTAAAAATTCTGTTAATGAGGCAGAGCATTCTGACCAAAGCCAAAGCATCACAGCCAGGGGCTTTGGTTATACATTAAGGTTCACTTAGTTCAGATTGGTTTAGATAACAGCATCTCTTAATGTGATCCTAAGCTCAGTAGTATTGGCATTTCCCCCTGTAGGGGATGGAGTGGTCTATGCTTTAACTACCTTTGTGGCTGACTCGGAAGCATGGAGAAGTTTGAGAATCACTGACTTACACTGCTTGCAATAGCACTGACTTGCTGGCTTACAAAGCAGAAGGCTGCATAATTCAGAAGAATTAAAATTTCATGGTAGGGGCACAGTTCCCTGACATGAAATGAGTTCTTTGCAAAGTAAAAGTGCACACAAATATGTCAAATGTTCAGACCAGCAAACTTGGGAGTTCTGCACTGTGCTGACCTAACTCAAGATCATAGGCTGTACCTCTGAGGGGATACTGTGTGGCTGGGTAAGGCGGATTCCCTTACTTCGATCCTTCCATTATATGGGAAACACTCTCAACCAACCAACCAAACAAACAAACAAAAAACTAGTTTGGGCTTGCATACTGCTCAGTTCTCCCAAGTGGCTGCACAAGGAACCAAACTAGGAATATCAAAGGTCTGAAGGAAAATGTCCTGGAGGATATTTTCATCTTTATTCTGTTTTTAAAACCTGCTGCATCACTACTTCAAGGAACTGTGCCAGACCTCTTCCCCAATGCAGTCTGGTGATCTTCACTAGGTTTTCTTACACAAAACATATCTGAGACCAAGGAGGAGGATCCACCTCTGACTGGAGCACCGGACACATGTCAATCACTGAAAAAAGTCACTATCAGCATTAAGGATAAATTATTTAAGTTTAGAGTGTGAGGACTCCTTTTGATGTTAATTTTCCTGTAAATAAAACAACAGCAGATAGGGGAATATGGCTCCCTGTCAGTTGTTGGACTCCCTCTTGCTGCCCTGGCTGCCCTGTCAGTCACATAGCCAGCTGGACTACTCTTAGGCCAGCAACAGACGTTTAGAATATTCTACAGATCCCTTAAGAAAACTATAGGATGGTCCCAGCTGATTTCCCCTGCTCCTGAATGTACCCAGGGTTGTCTGAAACTGTACCAGTTGTTTTGCTATCACAAGCCCTGGTGAACCTTAGATGACCCCCAAACTACTTCTATATAGCCCAGAGGGAGTGCACGTCCCTTGAGGCTCAGAAAAGGAGGTTTCTGTCACTGGTATGTAATAAGGCTATGAATGGTCCAAAACACAAGCCTCAGTGGCTCTGGCTGTGTAAGCAGGTTGCTGGAGCTCACTTACTGAGTTGATTAGACAAATTCTCCTATGCTTTCTTGTGATGTTGTAACATTAGGCCCAATAAACAACTTTTCTCAAATGGTCTTTCCTTACCTACACTTAGTAGTGCAGGCTGAGCTGATAACACAAAGCAGCAGCAGAGAGCAACGGGCAAGGGCATCATCCAAGCGGAAGCTATCAGGCCAAGAAAGATGGCTAACTGTTATCAGTTGAATATGAAGCTGCTGAAGAGTTCCAGACTGGCCAGGGCAGGAAGCAAGGCTGCAGAATGAGAGACAAGACAGGGTGGAGAGTTGATGCTGAAGAAGCACAAAAGCCTGTAAGAAGCTAGAAAAGAGAACCTGCAGCTCCTACTCACCAGCAGCATTCCAAAGGGCTGAGAAAAACTTATGGCCAAAGGCATCAGACCCTGAGTCAAAAGCTGTGACATGGGCCCGAGTTAAAGCTTAGGGAATACCAACTTACTGGGCCTACAAGAGAACTGCAATCGATTCTGAGGGAGGCCGGAGATATGGCTCAATGGGTAAAAGCACTGCCACCCAACCTGAAGACCTGAGTCGGACCCCCAAGACTCATGATAAAAGAATAAAAACAAACGTGTCCAGCAACCTGTCCTCTGACCTCTCCCAGCATACCACGGCATGCACATGACCACATACATATGTTTTTAAAGATGGAGGAATCTCAATACATATGCTTACTTGAATGCTTTAATGCCAGCTGGAACCAAGGGATACAGCACCCCACTTTCTCTGACCACCTTAGCGCTGCAGCACTTGTACGGTTAGTGACCTACGTACCCAAGACCGGATGCTTCCACCTGTCACAGAAGCTCCCTGCTGCTAAGCACCAAAGGCCAGTGGGCAGTCCTTGAGGTCCCTCTTCTTGTTTACCAAGCTTGGGATCTGGGTAGAACAAAAGAATTACCATCCAAATGATAAAATGTATTTATTCTTACTCTTTGTGCTCTGATTGTCCCTGTTTAATATGAGATGGCAACCAGAAGGATGTAAAGGGCAAGAATAAAGCCCAATTCCTAAGTCAGGAGCCTCTCCAATGGTCAGGCCATAGCAAGAGCAATCTCAGGAGCCTGTTTGGTTTTTGTTTGGTTTTGTTTTGCTTTTCTTTTTTTTTCTTTCTTTTTTTTTTTTTTTTTTTTACAGAGGAGTAATAAAAAATGTCACATAGGGCAGGCTGTCCTTGAACTCATAACCTGTGATCACCTCTCAGATGCTGAAACTACATGCATGCGCCACCATGCCCAGCATAATACTCAAAACTTAGCTTTAAAAAAAAAATGATGAGGCTGAAGAGATGGCTCAGCAGTTAAGAGCACCGGCTGCTCTTCCAGAGGATATGGGTTCAATTCCCAGCAGCCGTTTCTGGTAGCTCACACAGACTGTAATTCATGTCCCCACCTATCAGGCACCTTCTCCTGGCAAAAAAATAAACAAGAAAACATTTTAACATTTAACATTTTTTTGAGAGAGAGAGAGATCGATCCATCTTCTAGAGCTTGGGTTACAGGCTGTTGTGATCCATCAGAAGTAGGTGCCGTAATTTTTTTAATGTGTGGGGGTTGGGGGGTGTTCATAAGCATGAGAGTGAACATGTATATCAGTATCTAAGGACACAAGCAAACCCCAGCGCTATCTTCAAGGAGGCCATCCATATCCTTTGAAACAGATTTTCTCATTGGCCTGGAGTTCATCAATTAAGTTAAACTGGCTGGCCAGGGAACCCTAATAATTTTCCTATCTGTATCTGCTTTTTTCCAGCACTGTGGTTACAAGTGGGTACATTTACTAGTCATTTTCATATAGGTTCTGAACGCAGGCCCTTATGCTTGGAACACAAGCACTTTAATGACTGAGCTATGTCCCCAGCCCTCTTCAGTAATTTCTAACACAAATAAGTCTGAAAAGCAGAATCAATCAGGAAAAGACATTCATTCCCGGTAAGTCTTTTTGCACCCTGAAGGCCTCTCCACCAATGCAGCAAACCGAATCAGACCGAATTGGAAAAGCCCAGGTTTAATGGGTAAAGCATTCCCAGGTGATTCCTGGCCCCTCAGAGAGGAGACAGGGCGAGAGCCCGGCAGAACCACGTGCCTGTTTTCTGGGATGCAGCTTACATACCCTGTGGGAGTGGTCTTGAGCCTCTCTGGGGGAGGAGCTGTGTTTGCAGGGCTTTGAAGGGGTGGGTTTGGGGAAAGATATGGGGAAACGGGAGTTAAGGTGGATCTTCCACCAGAACATTCCAGATTCTTTAGGTATAGGGATGCCAGGGTGCCAGGGGCTGAGTTGGAACTCCCACCCAAACATTCCATACTCTTTGGGTATAGGGATGCCAGTTCAAGTCTGACTGCTTCCTGTGGGCATGGGGTGACGTGGGGAAGAGGAGTTGGGAATTGGTGAGCTCACATTCAGCAGGAGATATGAGTGGAGGAGCATCCGGTTAACTCTCATCCTGGAGACCTTAGGCATCTGTTTCTTCAGGAGGCAAAGAAGACAAGTTTCTAGGGAAAAAAAAATAGATCATTAACATCTGCCCTAGTTGTACTGTAAAGATGAATGTACAGAGCAGAAGAGCAGATAGGCCCTTTAGTGGGACATCTCGGAAAACCGGAGGGTAGAGGGTCCCAGTTGCTGGACAGACCACGTATCCTGAATAGGTGCCCACTTGAGCCTAGAGAGATGTCCAGCATGGATGTCCCAGGAGCTTGGCAGCCGAGGGGGTGGTGAGGATCACAGTAGGAACAGAGAAGGGACCTCAGAAAAGAGAGGTAAGGGGAGGTACCCGGCCAGTGGGGGAGTTTGGGCTGGGAGGTGGTGACTGGGGAGGAAGGGCCTTCCATAAAGAAGCTCAAAAGGGCTCAGGCCTGTAGGAGAGCGTGGGGTGACCCAGAGATGGGTAAGGGCAATGGGGAGAAGGGAGGGCCAAGATAACCTGAGTTCAGTGGAGAGCTTGGTGAGCTGTCGTTTGATGAGTCCATTGGCCTTCTCAACCTTTCCTGAGGATAAAGGTGTCAACCATAGTTAGGAGGTAACAGAGTTCTTTAGGTGTGGGCATGTGAGTGAAGTTCACCTGCCAATTCTCACCTGGTTGGTGTCCTCGAAGCTGGTGCAGAGGCTGACATATCTGGAGGGCCCCTGTGAATGGACCTGTGAAACACTCAGGAGAGTGTGGGGGCCAAGGTGAGTGTGGCCTTTTGCTGAGAACATTGCGAACCAGCAGAGGTACAGGGCAAGCAGTTATGACCAGAAAAAGAGTGTGAGAAGGCTCGCCCTGCAAGAATGCAGGGAAGTGTAAGAGTCTTAAGTGGGAAGGAAGGGATCCCGTCCACCCCCATGACAGAAATTGGTGAGGGAACTGTAGGACCTGAGTGAGATGTCAAAACAGAATAGGTAGCTCCCATGTCCAAAAGAAAGTCAATGGACTTACCTGTTACCTGCAGCGTCACCCCAGGCTCGGAGAGGGCAATTGGAGTCAGCAGGTCTAGGCCATATCAGTTCTCTGCCAGGCTTACTAGTTCTCAGTTGCCAGTTTTGGTGAGGTTGGACCTCCATGGCATGGCATAGAGGATGATCCTGCATGGGGGGCATACCAATTTCCAATGCCCAGACTGTCAGCAGACAGGGCATGACCTCCTGGGCAGCTGGGGGTCAGGGCAATACCGTGACCAGTGGCCCTGCTTTTCACATTTGAAACAAGTTTTTGGAGGAGCTGACTTAGGCTGAGCTCTGGTGGGATGGAGCCTCATGGCCATCTTCTCTTGTACCCCTTGTGGGGGGCCTGGTGGCCTCAGAGCAGCTGCTAAGGCTTGGGCTTAGAACATATTCTGTTGCAGCGTTGTCTGTCAAGTTGACTTGGCTGACATTCTCGAGCATTAAAAACTTAAAAAAGCCATTTTCACCAATTCCTGTAGGGGAGTTTGGGGATCCTCCTCAGCCTTTTAAAATTTTTTCCAGTATCTGGCACTGACCAAGAAATGAAACGGGTGGGAAGGCAGGAGTCTGGTGAGACTGAGTATGAGAAGAACTGGGGAAGATTTAAGGGTGTTGGGCCAGTGTGTAGGTTGAGGCATTGGGAGATGGGGGGAGCAGTGGGGAGAGAAGGGGACAGGAAGAAGGGTAAGGAGGAGGAATTTGGTCTTAGATTTGTGGCCCTGGAGGAGGGGGTTGGGTAGGCAGAGTCTGGGGGAAGTGGGGGAGGGGCCAGTGTCCTGGGCAGCATGGTCAGAGTGAATTTTTTTTTTGAATCCCAGTTCCCAGATAGGCGGGAATCTGGAGGCACCATGACTCTAGCCAACAAGACCAGTGCTGTGAGACATTGGCCCCTGTAGGGAGGATGAGAATGCCAACCCAAAAACCGTGGACATAGGGCAGTTCTGTCCAATTATATCAGATAGCCCCAATTTGAATAGATTTTGTAAAAGACCCCACAGGGGCGGTTGACAAGTGCCGTTTCTCAAGTCTATGCTGGGGACCTGAAGTCTAGCACAATGTGTCCACTGTGCTAAGTCTTGGGTCAAAAAATGGTGGTGTATGGGAAATTCCCTTCAACAGAACATCTTCTGGAGAAGGGGTCCCAAGGAACAAAGGCAGCCCTTTGCTCCAGAATGGGTCAGGTGGAGCAAAGGCAGCCCTTTGCTTCTGAAAGGGTCAGGGGGCCTGGCGCATCCATGTCTCTGGTAGGACACCCCGAAAAACAAAGAGGCTCTGGGCCTCCTAGGCAATGACTTGAAAAGGAAATTTACCTAGCCAGGAGCCGATCTCAGTCTGGTAGAGAGCAGGTGTGGGGGAGAGCAGTATTTTCCCACCACGCGGCCCTGGGCCAGTGGGGAAAAAAAACACCCCCCCCCAAGTGGACCTCCAGATGGTAAGTCTTTTTGCACCCTGACAGGCCTCTCTGCCAACGCAGCAATCCAAATCAGACTGAATCAGGAAAAGCCCAGGTTTAATGGGTAAAGTGTTCCTGGGTGATTCCCCGGCCTCTCAGAGATGAGAGACCACAAGAACCATGTGTCTGTTTTCTGGGATGCAGCTTATATACCCTGTGGGAATGGTCCTGAGCCTCTCTGGGGGAGCAGCTGTGTTTGGAGGGCTTTGAAGGGGCGGGTTTGGGGAAAGAGATGGGGGAGGGGAGTTGAGGTGGATCTTCCACCAGACTCCTTCCAAACATTCCTGACTCTTTGGGTATAGGGATGCCAGGGTGCCAGGGGTTGAGGTGGAGCTCCTGCCCAAACAATCCCCAAAGAAATGCTACTTTGGAGTGTGGGAAAACAGCAACATTTTCACAGATTACCCTCCATTCATCATTCACCGCTGTTCCTTCCCATCCTGCCTGTGACAAACAGCAAGTAACCCAGAGGTGCCCCATGACATAAACACACTGGAAATAGCACACACCTCATGGGGACATCAACAACAGTCACCCAGAGTTTATTCCATTTTTCACTCCCAACTCCTCATCACCCCCTCTCACTTCTGTTCCCCTATCTCTAGTCCCTGGGTGGATGGACATGCCTGACTCTGAGCTGAGAAAAAGCCCTGAGATTCCCCACTTCCTCTTCTCCCCAGTGTTGGTGATGGTATTCCACTGGCCCTGCCCATGTCCTCCATGGCAGTAGCAGTGACACTGGCTATACTGGCCCTTCTGGGAGGCCTCAAGGATGGTCATCTTTAGTGAGAGCTCTGTGTACTTCCAAGGGCAGGCAGGAAGGGCCAGGAAGTGCACCACCTGTATCCCCAGCCTACTCTAATCTCCAGTCAGGTTGATCCCCAAAGTTTTGGTTACTACCAGGTTTTCAGCACATACCTAGTAAGCACAGACAAATTAAACCACAGATTCTGAAACTGAGTGGCCAATCTGTCAGGAAGTAAGCAGGTGAATTGGGAGGAGAATATTTGCTGGATAGCAACTCACTGAGTAGCTCTAGAAATCCTGGAATTCACTCTGTAGCCTAGGCTGGACTCAAAACAGATAGTCCAAGTGCTGAGGTAACAGGCATAAGACACAACAGGCCTTTTGAATTGCTTTGGTTTTATTGTTTTGTTGACTCCCTGCCTTTTCTCTTTGTATGTTGTCTCATTTATTTTATTTGAAATGTTACACATTACCACTGTGTGCTCCTCACTGAACTGGTAATTTTTAAGCAGCCCATGGACCTGCTCCTTCTGAGTGTTTGGATTATTCCACTGTACCACTATGTCTACTTCAGTGGATTGCTTTGTTTTTATTTGTTGTGCATCTGTTTAATCTGGACTTCCCTTTGTTTTGTAACTTGCCTGGACAATGTTCTGGAAGGCAGCCTGAAAGGAAGGCAGCTTAATTAAATTCTTGATAATATGTCTGACCATTTTCAGGTTGGCAACAGGGTGTAAAAGACAGATATAATTATCTAATTCTCTGCCGTTTTTCAGAAGACTATTAAGAGCCAGTCTCTAAAAGGCTTTAAATATGAACCAAAAAAAAAAAAAAAAGCCGGGCAGTGGTGGTGCACACCTTTAATCCCAGCACTCAGGAGGCAGAGCCATGCGGATCTCTGTGAGTTTGAGGCCACCTGGTCTACAGAGTGAGTTCCAGGACAGTCAGGGCTACATAGAGAAACACTGTCTTGTAATGAGTTTTTGACCTTACCCCAAAAGGAATAAGTGAAAATACCAATCTATGGTGTTCCATCAAATCAAAACTCCTTTGGATAGGTGAAGATGGGGTAGCTGAACAGTTTGAGAGAGAAAAAAATTCTAAGATGTTGTGGGATATTTGTACACTGTGTAACAATGTATTGCTGTGACTGGTGTAATAAAAAGCTGGATGGCCAACAGCTAGGCAGGAGGTACAGGCTGGACTTCCAGGCAGAGAGAGGACTCTGGGAAGAAGAAAGGCAGAGTTGCCAGCCAGACACAGAGGAAGCAGGATGGGCAATACGGAGATTAGATAACAAACCACGTGCCAGAAAGTAGATTAAAAAATATGGGTTACAGCACTCGGGAGGCAGAGCCAGGCGGATCTCTGTGAGTTCGAGGCCAGCCTGGGCTACCAAGTGAGTTCCAGGAAAGGCGCAAAGCTACACAAAGAAACCCTGTCTCGAAAAACCAAAAAAAAAAAAAAAAAAAAAAAAATGGGTTAAGTTATAAGAACTAGTTAGGAACAAGTCTAAGCTAAGGCTGAGCTTTTATAGTTAATAAGTCTCCATGGGCTGGAGAGATAGCTCAGAAGTTAAGAGCACTGGCTGCTCTCCCAGAGGTCCTGAGTTCAATTCCCAGCAAACACATGGTGGTTCACAACCATCTATAATAAGATCTGATGCCCTCTTCTGGCCTGCAGGCATACACGCAGGCAGAACACTGTATATGTAATAAATAAATAAATCTTAAAAAAAAAATAAGTCTCCGTGTCATTATTTGTGAACTATTGGTCCCCACGAGAAAGTATGACTACACAAAGATACAGATAAATGTTGGAGAATTTATGGACTAGGGAACTCATGCAGATTATAGGAGAAATTAGTACTTCCCTTACTAATTATGCTATTTTAAAAATCCAAAAAAGGAAGAGATTACATTATATGTATGTAAATCCCACTTTCACAGTGGGTCTTATGAATAGAGTCTAGAGCCAGGCACATGTCAGGTAGAAGGAGTTCTACCACTGAGCTATGTTCCCAGCCAGGAATTTTTCATACACAAATGATATGAAATTGGTAACTGGAAGGGAAGGGGTACATGCCAATACTGACTTAAGTCTTATCAAAATGGCAAAATTAATCGTTTGTCAACTGATGGATGGAAAAAGAAAATTGTGTATATATACACAATGGAACACTTGATAGCCTTCAAAAAGAAGTCAATTCTGAGACCTGGGTGAGAGCTCAGTTGCTGAAGTAATAAAGTCTATAAAATGCTTGCCTTGCAAGAACAAGGACCTTAATGCTATCCCCAGAACTCAAGCACAGAATACTGGGCCAGGGGACTATGGAGAAGTCTCAGTCTGTAAAGTGTTTGTCCTCTAAGCATGATGATCTGAATTCAACCTCCCAAATCCACATAAAACTACTGAAGGGGTAACTTATCATCCTACCCCTAGGGAGGCAGGACAACAGAAGCCCCAGCAGGTGCTGGCCAGTCAGACTAAGTGAATCATGGTGCCTCATTCAGTGTGTGATTCTGTTAAAAAAAATGACATTGAAGACACCCAAAATCAATCTCTGACCTCCATATGGTACATATATATGTGCATATGAATGTGTATGCACCGGTGCGCGCGCGCGCGCGCACACACACACACACACACACACACACACACACACACACACACACATACAAAATATTGCCCATGGGGCTGGAGAGATAGTTCAGCAATTAAGAGCACTTGTTCTGCACCTGCATGGTGGCTCACAACTGTCTGTAACTCCAGTTCCAGGGGATTGAAACCCTCCTTCCTGACCTCTAGGCATGCATACAGAGCACATACATACATGTGAGCAGAACATTCATACACATAAAATAAAATAAATTAAATCTATTTTTAAAATGTTGGCACAGGGCTATGGGGATAAGAGGAAGATCCTTAGGGCACATGCCTACATGAGAGGTTCCAGGCCAATAAGAGGCCCCAGCTAAAGAATAAAATTGTATATATGGCCTCAAGAATGATATGGAAGATTGCAAACAAAACACACATCTATTCACCTCAGAAATGGAACCTACAAGAGTCTAAAGTAAGGACTGTACCAAAGTCTGACTTGGTGAACCAGTGAATTTTTACTGGAGTTACTAACAAGGGTGTGGGTGAAAGATTACTTACTTCACCAAAGTCCACCTCAACATGGGTGATGTTCACAAAGGCTGCAAGTAACCCTGGAGCGCTTTTCAGCTTGCAGGTGGCTTGATAGTCCGAGAATCTCTTCTCGCTGAGGTTGGGTTTAGCAGTCTCCAAACCCAGCAGTTGTTTACTCCTTTTTATACTGCTAGTGAGGCCCTGAACAATCTTCCAATTTTCTGTTCTCCCAGACATCTGTCTGCTCACAAGACTTCCCAATCCCTACTGGACAGAATGTTTCAATTGGAGGAACCCACCATACAAAAGCATGCAGTGCACATGTGCCTACATTAAAGCACGTGTGGGCAAACACATGCCCACATACATGCACTTACCCTGCCATTTGCAACAGCACAGATGACATATGTATGACATGAAAACAGCCAGGCCTGCACAGGACCAATTCTCTATCTTCTCACCTGTTGTGGAAATCTAAGTCAATCATATTCATGGTAGCAGAGTTGAATGATGTGCCTGGAGGGTATAGAGAATGGAAATGAAGAAATGAGTTGAATTTTCAATTAGATCGGAGGGATTTTTTTGAGATTACTGCAATGGATGGGGACTACTATTAACAACAAGGTGCCATAAGTTTCAAAATCACTAAGAAAACATTTCAAATGTTCACATCAGAAAACAACAGTATTTTGGATGTCAGAAAGTTATTTCTCTTGATTTCATCATTCCATATTACACACATATAATACTGTGTCTCCATATACATGCACAACTTTTCAATGTACAAGAAAATAGTGTAAATAAAATATCAAGAGTTTATATGTACTGCGAGAATAAGATGTATTTGCCTTTCTCTCTAGTGTGCTATCATTCACATCTACGATCCCATACAGAAGTCCTGTATAAGGGGAGCTACGAATCAGGATTACTGAAGGAAATGTCATGCTTGGAGTGCAAATGAACCACAGCCCATAGCCTTGTCCCCTGGCACCAGCAATACTAATTTCCTAGTTCTCATCAGTGAATCCACAGCTTATTCCACACGTGCCCATCTTCTTGAACTTGGTTTTCTCTCTTTTTCTCTTTTAACACCACTACGGAAAGTGGGGAGACAACTGACAATTTCTGGTTTCCCAGATTCTGCCAAAACTATAGGCAGATTAAGATTCATGGGAGCTGGAGAAACGGCTCGGCAGTTAAGGGCACTTGCTGCTCTTCCAAAGGACTTGAGTTCAGTTCCCAGCATCCACATCAGGTGGCTCACAACCACCTACAACTTGAGCTCCAAGGGATCCAACAACCCATTCTGGCCTCTGTAGGCATCTGCGTACATGTCACACACGTACAGACACAAACACCAATGCATATAATTTGAAAAATAATAAAAATACCTTTGAAAATTCATGTTCATATTTATGTATATATATAATGTGGTTTTACCATGTATAATAATCCATGTGGAAGACCATTCTCATCTAGGTCATGCCTTATGGCTGTAGGCTCCAGTAACACTTTCAGGCTCCCCAATTTCAGCTCTGTATTAGGCATCAGGAGAATAGTAGTGGAATCTCCAGGGAATTTATTTCAGATTTACATTCAGGTGACCTCCAAACAAAACTGACCAACCTAGCTCTCTTTGTGCTAACCATTCCTTTTGCTGGGTTGGAGGCACAGAGAAATCTGAGAAGCACTAACTTTGACTGCCTGAACTTAGAGTGGTTTCTCTAGTGAACAAAGCAGCAGATTGGATTATCAAAATAATTGAAAATGCGTTTAGAGTTTAGGGCAGGTACACAGTTCACAGTTGCAAGTTCGAGTTGGCTAGGGAAAAATGTGAATTGCAAATGTTCATGAGCGCTAAGCCCAGCCCTGAGTTCCTGTCTTACTGTCGTCCTGACTAGAGATTACGAGCTCTATGTGGAATGGGAAACCCTAGCTATCATCAAGAAACATAGATTCTTTTGTAGGTGTCCCGCTATTGCACAGGCAAGTGGTCTGACCAGGATTAAGCTGTGTTGGGACAAAAGTTACAGCCTGTCAGTCCAAGTTGGTGCACGGGAACCTAAACTTATCAGAAACATGCCTGAAAGAAAGTTTTACTATAATTTATTTCTAAAGTATGTTTATGCACCAACGTTTTAACATCAAAGTTCCTGTCCCAGACTCCTACAGGGCAGTCTGTGATTCCGGATAAGTTTTCCTGATACAATATGGATCAGCCTCCAAACCATTATTTTTATAAGTGTCTGTGCTTCAAAGCAGATGGCAACTGGTAGGCTGCAAAGGGCAAAAATAAAGTGTTACTCCTTTTGCTCATCCAGAGCTTCAAAGGCAGTACTCATAAAAGCAGAGTCTGGCACTTGGTACTTAACACAAAGCAATCTACTTACCATCATCGGAACTGGAAACCAAGGCATTCAACTCATTCTGTCCAGACACAACGCAGATATGTGTGTCCTGGCTGGCAATAACTTTCTTACTGATCTTATCTTCCCTTAGTCTGTCCACTGCTGCCCTCCCTTAGATCCCGCCAGCTGCTCACCATAATAACCAGAAGATGCTCCAATCTTATCAACACACCAGAAATGGCAATATGCTTCTTCATGAGACTTCATCACTGGTTTGACCCCAAGGAGTTCCTGGGAGGGCCAACAGGTACTTGCACCCAGGCATTTTTTATGCTAAAACATATAAAATACCTGGCCTACCCTTTTTTCATTTGTTGACATTTCCTCAAATCTATGTTTGAGGTACATTATTATCATTTATTCTGAAGTGGGAATTCATTTTCCTCTTCAGTGAGCAGTATATTGTGACCCATTTTAGCTGCTGAATCAACCCTTTCTTTCAATGTACTATGTTCAATGTGTTAACCCGAAAGCTGTACCTCTTTAACTTCCATCATGTACCTAAGCAGGAGAGACATTTTATAACATTTTATAATCTTAGTTCCTGGTATAGAATCCCCACTGGTCCATTATGTTTGCACTTTTGTTTGTTTTTTTTTTTGTTTTATTTTTTGGTAGGAAGTCAACATGCATCCCTGCTTGCCCTCAAACCCACAGTCACCTTTCTGCTTCACAGTCCCAAGTGATGGGATTACGGTCTAAATGCTACATGCTCAACTGATAGTTTTGACAACACAAAGCCACTGGGTTTGTTAAAGCCAAATATAAGACCTTCAAATGGGGGTTGGGGATTTAGCTCAGTGGTAGAGTGCTTGCCTAGCACGCACAAGGCCCTGGGTTCGGTCCTCAGCTCTGGAAAAAAAAAGACCTCCAACTGTAAAACAACTAGACAAGAAGGAAGAAAATCGAATGATATTGTCTACAAAGATTTTTAGATTTGAACCCAAAAGCAACAAAAGCAACCATAGATAAACAGGATTATAACCATTAGAGTATAGAGACAACATCCAGATGGTAATAAAACTGAAAGATTACTAAGAGGTTCGATATCAGTATCTATAAGGAATTCTATATAAAGCAGGAGAAAAAAAAACAACTCAATTTAAAAATGACTAAAAAACCTTAATAGACTTCTAAGAGACCTTAGCACAACTGACACCATGTTAGAGGCACCCAGCAAGTAGGTCCCAACACCTGCCAAAATGGGAACAAAGATCTAGCACATCCAAGACCTAGTCTGTAGTTAAGGTCCCTTGTGAACCCTGCTTTCTGCTTCTGAAGCTCTGCTTCTTGCTAACTGAAGTGTGATAACCAGCATGTGGTTTTTGTGCATAAAATCCAAAGGGTTATAAGGCTCAGGGCTGCATGATTTGAGCAAGTTCCCCGTGCAGCTGCCAGCTGGCAATAAACACTTTCTTTTTACCTTTAAGACTGTCTGTGTGGTGGTCTCTGGTGGGCTTACCTTGCAAGAATATCACTACATCAGTGCTAATTATAAACAGTTGGTTTCTTTGGTTTTTTTTTTTTTTTCCAGACAAGGTCTCCTTATACAGGGCAGGTTTGCCTTGAAAATGTGATCTTCCTTCCTCTGCTTCCCAAGTGTTAAAATTACAGGTATACCAGACCAGGCTCTACTAATGATAAGCTGTTTCTATTATGCTGGGGAGATGGCTCACTCAAGTAAAGTGCCTGTCATGCAGGCATGAAGACCTGAGTTCAATCGCCAGAACTCACCTAAAAATGTAGTGTGGTGGTCCTGCCACTATTGGGCAGAGAAAAGCAAAGCCCTGGAGCTTGCTGGCTAGCCAGCCTAGCATAACTGGCGAATCCCAGGCCTGTAGGAGACCCTGTCTCAAAAAAACCAGGTGAGCCTGGGTGTGGTGGGGCACACCTTTAGTCCTAGCATGCAGTAAGCAGAGGCAGAGGCAGAGGCAGGCGGATCTTTTTGAGTTTGATACCAGACAGAGGAACACAGTAAGACCCTGTCTCAAACAAACAAAAACAAAAATAAGGTGGATGGTGCCTAAGGAAGGACACAGGGTTGACCTTTGGCACACACGGGCATCACATACACACAAAAATGTTTCCATGTCACATATAAACAAAATTCATTTGGGAGTGTTCTAGGCTTCCTAGAGTTCTCCACTAGTATGGGTTCCCAGGAATTATGATCCCCACAAGAAATACCATTTGGGTAGTGGTAATGGATCAACCCAAAGGTCCTGGTACCTAGTATTTGGTACGTGGAGGAAGAACTAGTTGCCAGTTCTTGTAACCTGAATCCATAGCTCAAACTATAGACACACATTTCCTGATATGTGCTTCATTTTTTTCTATAATTTGTAACACTGCTTTGGGTAAGGCGGAGACAGACTTAGAAGGTCTTGCCTCAGTTTTAATAAAAGAATAAATAATGTTTTCTTGTTACTATGAGGGAGCACTCTGACCCAGGTCAGCAGCAACACTACTTGGTAATTTGCACTGAAGTCCTCCAGTAACACCTTCAAGTTACATGTCAGCTCTGTTCCAGGCTGTGTTCAAATGCTTGGCATTGTGGCATGAAGTTATGGTCTAGAAATGTGCTGGGCCACATTCATAGCTATGCAGATACACAGAGACACAGGCTGGATAGGAATGGTAGCTCAGCAGTTTTCCAACGGTGGTCCTATGGTGGTCCAGTGCTTTTTCCTGGAAATTGTTAGAAACTTAAATTCTGGAAAACATCCCACAAAAGCTGATGAAACAACTCTATTAGTGACACCCATCAGTCTGTGTTTTTAACAAGTCTCCCAGAGAAATAGGATGCTCAGAAAAATTTAACTTGGATTACCTGCTGCACTCTTGTTCTCTCATTAACAAAGCAGCAGGCTGGACAGTTCTGAAGCATGAAAAGTTTGCTTAAGGTTTTGATGAGCGCAAGATTTCATGCTGTTACTGACTTGGCATACTAAACAAACAGCTAGCACAGAAGAATTTCAAATGCCCAGAGTGCTGCAAATTCTCTCACCAGCAATAAACCTCTTTGGACCTTAGGTATTACTTGACCTCCTCCACTCCCCATCTGTCCCCCACCACCACCACCCACCCCCAGCCAAACAGCTGCACTGGGAGCTAAAAGCCCCGAGGGAAAAAATGCCCGAAGGAAAGTTTTGCTTTATTTTCTGTCCAAAAGATTTGAAAGCGGTCCAAGAGAGCACTCTGCCAGTCCTTCCCCCAGGGCAGTCTCCAGGTCCCTAACTCTGTGTGCTATAATTGCTCCAATTCAAATGCAAATAACAACTTCAGAATGTAAAGTGCGAAAATAAAGCCGAACTTTCCCCCCTGCTCACAGACGATAGGGAAGCTACAGAACACACCAAGAGCAGCATTCGATAATTTGTACCACAAAACAACAATCCCACCCGAGGCTGAATGAATCAAAAAACAAGAGCCCAGATCATTTCATACAAACGCGACATAGGTGTGTGAGTACCGGCCAGCAACACTTCCTTCCCGAGATCTTTTCTTCGCTTTATCTTTCAGAGTCCATCCTTGCATCCCGCTGGGCGCTAACTGCAAACAACCTAAAAAAAAAAAAAAAGAAAGAAAACAAAAGAAACCCCCCACTGAGAGCAACACACCGGAAACAGCGATACACGTGGGTGTGGCGTCATCAACAGTCGCCGCGAATTCCTTCTGTCCCTTGTTCCCCCTCTCACTTCAGTTCCCCTCTCTTTGAGCCTCTTATGGCTGTACATTTCTAGCCATGAACCAAAAGACGTGCCGCGACATCCCATCTTGTCCTTTCCCCTGCGGCCTCCAGAGGCAGAGGCGGAGGCAGCGGCAGCGGCAGTAGCCACGCTGGACAGGGTTCCAAAGGCCTCTGGGAAGGTCACAGCCCCTGAGAAGCTCGCGGCATCCTTCCGGTACCACCCAGGACACCGTCCCGCCGAGCTTTCCGCCAGCATCCCCCAGCCCGCTCCAACCTCCAGTTAGGGTTTGACCCCGAGATTTGCGAGGCGTTTGGCGGGCCAGCTCACTGTTGCAGCCGAGCATCTTTTACGCCAAAGCATATAAAATGACTGGCTTGCCCCTTTCTCATTTGTTCGAGGTTGATTCACAAGGTTATCAATCATTTTGAAGTTGAAATTCATTTTCTTATATGATAGTTTATAGTGCCCCATATAAGCTGCTGGACCAACTCTGGCCCTCGGTGTGCCATTTCTGATGTGTTCACCTTGAACTTGTAACTCGTTCGTGTGTAACTTCAACTGAACACCTTAAGTGCGGGGGGAGGGGGGGAGGGGGGCGGGGCGCAAGTGTGCCAAGCAGGTTCTCACCTGCTGAGCCATCTCCCTGGCCCATAGGAGTTTTTTGAACCGCAGTTTCTGGATTGAAATCTCCACTCACCTACTATCAACCATGGTGTCTTAGGCAAATTAAGTAGGTGTTCAGTTGGCTTGCTCTTCTGTAGAATGACTGTACTAGCAATACCTACTGCTAGTGTGCTAGTGAGAAGAGAAACATTTTGTCGCACAAAGTTAAGCAGTAGTATATCAAAGTATATATATTTTAAAAATTATTTTTAGCTTTTAAAATTATTTTATATGGGCTGGGCGGTGGTGGCGCACGCCTTTAATCCCAGCACTCGGGAGGCAGAGCCAGGCGGATCTCTGTGAGTTCGAGGCCAGCCTGGGCTGCCAAGTGAGTTCCAGGAAAGGCGCAAAGTTATATAGAGAAACCCTGTCTCGAAAAACCCCCCCAAAAATTATTTTATATGTATAGGTCTCTTGCTTGCATTTATATCTGTGTACCACGTGGGTGTGTTGCCCACAGAGGACAGAAGAGGAGGCTGAATCCCCTGGAATTGGAGTTATAGAGGGTTGTGAGCCACCATGTGGGTGCTGTGAACCAAACCTTGGTCCTCTGCAAGAGCAACAAGAGCGCTTAACTGATGAGCCATCTCTCCAGAACCCGCCCATTATAATTCTTGAAATCGGTGGAAGTACAGTCTTGCCTAACTCAGGTGCCCATGAATAATAAGGATAATAACGGCTATTGGAGGAGTTATGGAGCAGACCACATGGCAGTGCAAAAACCATTGTTGCTTAAACCTCACAAAATACTTTGGTGGCAGTTTAACTATGCTGTCCATTGCTCTCTTTTTGAACTTGTTTTGTGGGGATTTTGTCTGTTTCTTTTTCCATGATGGAAATTGATTCCATGGCTTCAGGCATAGTAGGGCTAGTGTTCTCCCATTAAGTTACATTCCATCTAATCCTGTTGATTTTTGAAACAGCAGGCTTGAAAATTCATTCCAGTCAGCTAGCAGCGAAGTGAGTGTTCGGCCAATTGTCACTAATCAAGAATAATTGGAACTGATACTTTAGTGCAAATAAACTCAGGTGTGGATGGGGAGATGGATCAATAACTAAGAGAACTTGCTGCAAGAAAGCATGAGGACCTGAGTTCAAATCCCCAGCTCTCAGGTAAAAATCTGGTAAATCCATAAGCTCAACATCCAGGCTGTGAGGGACCACCCCTCTTGGCATTTCAGGGCCCGTTTGCCTACACACCTAGGAAAGTGTGTAAGTTTGAATTGAAGATAAATGCTGCAGCATCCAACAATATCACACATAGCAAGCTGTGGTGCTCTGCGTAAAAGTGGCTAATTTTATGAAGATAGGGAACAGGAATAGCATGGAAGGCCTTTTCTCACAGCTTTCTCCTTATTTCTAGCTATTGTCAAGCTGCAAAGGTCAGTTCAGTATAAGTCCAGTTACAGAATCCAAGAAAGAGGAGGAAAAATTCTGTTTCAAATGTAAAGTGTTGGCAGTGGGAAGACAAGCAGATGTCTCTCAGGCCGGTAGATGCATAAAAAGTCGAGGAGACTGGTGAGCAGTACTCTGTTCACCTTCAATCTCAGAACCCTACTCCAGACTTTTTAGCTACCTTGAATTTCCCTAACCAACCCAGTTATTTTACTTCTGGACAACTTGCCATGATCACAGAGTGCAGTACCAGGTGCCCCTGCTTAGAAAAATGGGTAGGTGAGCAAAGAAGATGTGCATAAATGGTATGTTAGAAAAGGAAATGCATTAAAGTATCTCTACTTGTAATCATGACGTACCTTTTGAAACAAACTCATATATAATGCATGCATTCATGTTCACTAGTGCATTCTGTTGTATGTTTTAGGTATGATTCTTAAGGACTGTCCCTGTGTTGTAATGTGTATGACTATTCCACATTGTAGGGAACATACCCTGCTGATAACCAGTTTAGATAAAACTACTAGCTAATAAAACTACTAGCAACTACTAGTTGCTCATTTCTCTGGAGAATTTCATTCTGTAGAAGAGCTTCCCTGCCTATAAGATTCATACCACACTACCACCCTGTGCACCTGTGTCCAATGTCTGCCTGAGGGTGAGGGTTTAAGGTACAAGGATTCTTTGCCTTAAGAATAACCAATTCATGTTGCATAACCTATTCCAGAGCCTCTCCTCAAATAATGACAAAAGCAGTTTCTGTTTACCTTCATCTCTGTCCCTCCCCACCCCCCTGTCCTGTCCTGTTTTTCTCATTGTCCTGCATTTGACCCTTGCCCCTGGCCCTGCTCTGCTCAGGATCTGTTTTCAGTTACACATATGTATGACTCATATCTATCTCACAGTTTCCAGAGGCTGTGTAAAGAGGGCCTATGTAGTCTCCCTTTGTTGGCAGAAAAGCTATATACATCCCCAGGAATCAGGAGTGTGATAATGTACAAGTGTGAAGGCCTCTCAACATGAACATGTAGTCTAACTTTAAAATGAGGCTCTCTGTTTCTAACAGCTCCTATTTTGCTGAAACCTACATACCATATTCTGTCAAATTGAAAAGGATTATATATATATATATATATGTATATATATATATATATAATTTCATTGTAATTCTTTGCCACTATGGAACATGAAAATTTCTTACAATTATTCGACAGAGGTGTTTGTTAAAAGCTTTAGTTCAATTACAGTTATTTTGTGTTAGCTGTTCTTGTTATACTAGAAATGATCATAAACTGATTTTATCAACTTTTGGTTATTTATTTATCTGTAAATCCCAATCTGATTTTTGAAGATACAGAAAGAATACACTGCAGTAGAATAGTTGATAAATAGGAATGCTCTAATCTACAAGCATTAAAAATGACCAGACCAGGCTGGGTGGTGGTGGCACACGCCTTTAATCCCAGCACTCAGGAGGCAGAGGCAGGTGGATCTCTGTGAGTTGGAGGCCAGTCTGGGCCACAGAGTGAGTTCCAGGAAAGGTGCCAAAACTACACAGAGAAACCCTGTCTCAAAAGACCAAAAAAAAAAAAAAAAAGACCAGGTCATCATTTTTTAAGTAATAAAAATATACCCTTACCGTATACTCCTGTGATTTCCAGCACTCATTGGCAGAGGCTAGAGGATAAGGAGTTCAATGCCATCCTCAGCTTAAGTTCTTTGCCAGGATGGATTATTTAAAAACCTGTCTCAAAAAGTAAAAACAAAACAACAACAGTTTAAAAATACCACAAATACACACACACACACACACACACACACACACACACACACACACTGAACCACTCATAGTGGCTCACACCTATAATCCAGTAATTAAGAGCACAAAGAGACAGGAGGATCAACAGTTTCAGGCTATCCTAGGCTATACAGCAAGACATATTTGTTTGGTTAGCTGTGGAGGGAATTGAACTCAAGTCATCAGACATGGTAGCAACTGCTCTACCACTGAGCTAAAAACCAGTCTCCAGACTTCTTTGTCACAGTGCTAATTTAACAAATCAATTATTATTCACAAGACATAGCAGCCCTCATTATGAACATCAATGAAGATGCTATAAATATGTACACATATTGGGTAGGGCTAATGGTAAGACAGAAAAATGCAGGTTAAAATAATCTGATTTTTAAAATATACATTGCAACCATGAAAGCTTCATGACATCTGGCATCTTATTCACTTTTCCCCCAACATGTATATTATATTATATGGACCTTGTATTACCCATGTTAATCTGTTAATAAAAGCCAATTTTGTCCCATTAATAAAAGACCTAAGACAATAATTTTCATTGGGATTATCCCCCCAAATAACTTTCATCTATATAAAGGACTCAGTCTTAGCTGAAAACCTATTTCTGAGTATATTTGAAAATATTCCCTTGGCATAACCTCTTGTATTAGTTTGTTTTTAATTAATTTAGATTTGTTCATTATGCTGTAATTTATTTTAATTAATTTAAATGTTTTGTTGTTCATAAAAATATACTCATCTTCATGCCCTCCAAAAATCAGATTGTGAAAAGATTTCTTTTGGTTTGGTAACTGAAATAAACAGTTTTCATAAGAAGAAAATTTGATTAAATTAAAAAAATTGTACTTATCTGGAATGTTGGGATTTTTTGAAAGCCTTCCTGCAATAGTTCTAACAGTTTTCTCAGTTATGAAAGAGATATGGTTCTTGATCATAATAAACCTTGTATTTTGTTTTAACTGCTTTATGTTATTTTCCAATAAGTACTCTTGTTTCTCATCACTAACTATCCTAATTGTTTAAGTTTCCTAACAGTTTCTTTTCTGGCTAAGGCTGATTTCTAAATGTGAATGGAATACCAGTCAAGATGATGTTTCACCAGTTATGACCACTTTGATATTTTCCGAAGCTCATGGATGAGAATAAGAGACTTCTTATTGGATAAGACAAAAGCGAGGCGTTGGAAACAATTATATTCACTTGTTGTTTCTATTGATGAGAGCATAGGAAGTGTTGACCAATCAGAAGAGAAGGTCAAGAGAGGGTCAGCACTGCCTATGTTAAATGT